CCCCAACCTTTCTGTCAGAATTGACATTTGATTTATGGTAAATATAAAATTTATCCTTACAGATGCTAACAGATTATGCTTTATTTGACAGGCAAAAGCCCAAACACTGTTTGTGAACTGTTCACTTCAGAACCAGTGATTAAGCAAAAAAGACAGTGAAGAATGTGATGTGGTTCAGCAGCTTGGTTCAGTTAGGTAAACTCAGACTCAGTTCATCTCCATACATGACATGCCAAACTCAAGGCCCACAGGCCAAATATGAATCGCATTAACATTTTATCTGGACTGACTTAAAGGTGATATTTTGCATGTAAATTATTGTTATTGTTTCTCTTTTGTCACAGTTAGTGCAGAATTTTCATGAAAATAGGCAACTCTTTAATCATCTTTTTATTATTATTATTACCAGGTATTTATGTTAATGTCATATAGCTAAAAAAAATTACTGTTTTCTTTTTAAACTAATTTTATTGATTGTTAAATTTGTCTCTAACAAATAATAAAGCTAGTAATACAGTGTAAGGCATAAGAAATAAAAGCCAGTGATGTATATTTTTAACTTTTTTATCCATTATTGGTTATGCATGTTCTTAATGCTGCATAACATATAATTTGGAAATGATAATTTGTATTTTTAGAAGAATAATTTACGTTTAAAACTTATATTTTCTATAAATATTTACAGAAATTGGCCTTTGGCTCAGTCCAAGTTTTGAATTTGGCCCACTTCTGTAATTTTGACACCCCTGCCAGACATTTTTTTTATATATACTCCTGTCAAAAGTCAGCAATATTCTGTAGAAATGACACCTTGTCATGTCTGTTTCTAAARAAAAGTGTGGTGTATTTGTGAAAATGTCACATATCTGACTCTGGTTGACACCAGACAAGTCGAGGGTCTACCAAAACTGTGAGAGCTTCAACAAAAATGCCAACAGCTGAGAGTTAAAATGAAAAGATAAAAAAAAATCATTATTTTTATTGACAAGTGTTTCACTTTTTCCCAGCAGGTGGCAGCAGAGACTGCACCCGCTTATCCTCAACTCAGTTTAACTGCTGCCAAGTCATAATGCACCAGCACTGTGTTTAGCATGGATCCCATCAGCAGTCATTATTGATGAAGGTGGATTGAATGTTTTTTTAATTTATTTTTATTTGTTTATTTATTTATTACATTTTGTAAATGTGATTGTTTGAGCATCTGGTGAAGTTTAAGTAGGCATGAGCATGTGCTCCTCAATTGCTCATCTCTGAGATGTGAATTACAGATTAACATGTCTTGCCTGCTCTCTCTCTTTGTCTCTCTGTCTTTGTGAGTGAGCTCAGGCACAGACGATTCATCAGCTCTCTTCCAGACAACGACGAGCCTGTTTGTCTTGTGACAATGAGAAGCTTTTAATTCCCTCAGCAGCGCAGTCACCTGATCTCCCACTCAGCCAGGGTAGCTCACAGTCACAGTGTGTAGTTTTCACGTTCTCTGAGCTGTAACTCCCTCTTTGTCTTTCCACACACCCATCTGGTGTGTGTTCTGCTCACCATATGCTCAGGTGAACATCTCATTGCTGTGTAAGTAAAGCCTACCTAAATCATGCATGCATGCATAAAGAGAAAAAGCTTCTAACTCATTCCTCTTGATGTGCAACAGATAACGTGAGGTTTGCACTCATATCTGCATCTATGTCCACTATATCCGCAGTGTTTGTAGAGATGTGTGTGTGCTGCTTGTGTTAAGCTCCAGCAAATGGGTCAGCAGCCATCCTCACCGCTGCTCGGCCCTGTAATGAGTTTACATGAGCCGTGCCCCCAATGAGCAGCAACACAACCAGGTAACACAGCCTGTCATGTCCAGAAAAGGGTTTTAGGTTCTGTGTTTGCTAATAAAAAACATGACAAAGGACTTCAGCTTGGTGTCAGAGCCAAAATCTCCCCCTTTGAGGGTAACACAAACAGAACATTGTGCCAATAATCCTCTTAGTAACACCTCGGCTCTGGCTTAAGACAGCTTTTAGAAACTGAAATGAAAAAAAAAAAACAGATTTATATGTCTAAAATTTATCTGATGATCACACATACAGCGGGTAAAATAAGTATTGAACACGTCAACATTTTTCTCAGTAAATATATTATTAGAGGTGCTAATGACATGAAATTTTCACCAGATGT